GGTGCGTTGAAATAGTGTAAAAATAATATTTGTATTTATGCTTTTATTATGCAGAGTCTATCAGTATGACTTAAAAAGAAATAAGACACTGCGTAATACTGTTTAACCCCCTCCCCAATATTGCTTTGAATATTTTTTTATGTAAATATTACTAAATTTTTATAATTTAGGTATCCCTGGGCAGTAGCCTAGGCACCAAATTTATGTTGTTGTTTTTTTTTTTTTTTTTCTAATTTCATATTCTAGCTATACATACTGAGAATAAATCTTACCCTGTTATTTTTTTTTTCTAGAAAAGCACAATAGTAATGGGGTTAAATCTTAAAAGAAATTGAATTCTTTTGATATTAACGGAACTGCTTTTTTTCTCCATGAAATAACCGTACATGCTGTTTGTTTTTGTTTGGTATTTTTTTTTTTAATACGTCAGAACATTGTCAAACAAATTCAAGTATTAAAATAAATCTTATACTTTTATGTTTGCATCTATTTAAAAAAAACAAAAAAAAACATTACTCGTGATTTAAAATGTTATCTTAGGAGAAACTAATTGTGATGTGCTGCATTTAGCCTGCTTTACCAGCGATTGTTTACACTCCCTTAAGTTATACATTGTGTCAGCTGCAGAAATTGGAACTCGAACAAACACCTTATGGCCATTTTTTATGACATTTCTTCTTGTATTTGTACATACATCTGCGATCGAGCAGGAGACTGACACCAGGAGAACTACCACTCCGGGCTATAATCAGCATGTCGTATAAGACAAGTGCAATACAATCATGAACAGCGAATTAAATTATTACACATTTTTCATGATTTTGCATTATGTTTTATTATCCAATCCAGATAACATGAAAAGAGCATTTTGGTTGTTTTATTTTGTGATGTCACACATCAAAGCGCCCATCTATAAAAAGTCCTGTAACACGTTCCCAATTAGAAAACAAAAACTGCCACTAGTTTTTGAAATTTTATATTTTATTCTCATATATAAAGTAATGGAATCACTCAACGAGCGAATGCATGACAAAGTAAATATATAGAAACAAATATCTAACAATTTTGTGTTAAATTATGAGATTGAGGGTTTTTAATATATGGGAAGAATAAATAAACAATCACCTCCAGAAAATATGCTATTACTTATTTCCCTTATAAATGATAAGCAGGGGGGATGACTCAGAACCAATGTATGGATCACATTCTGTACACATATACAAACACTCCTTTTGAAAGGTGAAGAAACAACAGAATATATCAATGTTATGTTATATAAGTGACCAAAAGATAGATCCCCAGCTGTTGTAGAACAATAACGCCATTGATTCTCTGCATGCCTTTAGAATACCTTTACAATGACAAAGCATCATGAAATCTGTAGTTTAAAAACATCTAAGGATCTACCTTGTGGGCACCCCTGGTGTAGGACATGAAATGTTAAGCCCTGGAAGCGTACCTCCCAAGTGTCCCTATTTAGGATAGACAGTCCCCTTTAGCCCAAATCCCTCTGTAACTTTTTTCTACCTAATTGTTCCTTTTTTATAGGAGCTCCATATTGTTGGTGTGTTTGAGTGTAAAACAGAGATTCAGAGTAAAACTACTCACAATAATATGTCTTTAAATAACAATACATGTGTTTATATATCAGTCTGTGTAAATAAGATACATTGTTCTTGTTCTAAATTACTTTTTAATTGTATACTATTGTATTAGTAAGTCAACAAAAATGTCTCAGACATCATGCCTTCCAAACGTTATAATTTTGGGGTCCATTCTTTCTTTAGTGCCCTTGTATTCCACATCAGGTGACATCAGAGATCTGTCCCCAGGCAGCACACCAAGAGTGTATCAATGGATGCAGCAGGCACTAGGACCATGCAGAGAATTCTGCATCAGCAATCCATGCATGGTCAAAACAAGAGGCCAGGTAGCCAGACTGTCGGTAAGCCTGGTATGCTTGATGCCAGACTGACATGTGTCTTCAGTGGGCTTTTCCATGTGGACTCACCAATTATGGGTGTTGCTGGAGAGTTGAATCGTGTCACTGGCATGCCCCCTCTATCCTCCCAGAGGCCTGTCCCCCCAATCTTCTGATTGCATATCTAAAAATGTTGGGTGGTGTGGAACAGCTCTGCCCTTGACCACATCCCTGCTCACACCCCGTCAAGTTCTTACCTTTTGAAATATTGGATGGTATGTGAAAAGTAATAACTAGATGCTCGAACTCTACCTTTTGAAGCAGAAATAAATACCTGTCTATCAAGGCTAGTTTGAAATTTGACAATTAAATCACTAGAAACAGCCATATGGCCTTAGCTGACTAGTATCCTGAACATGCACCCAGATTGTATTCATTTATCCTGTTTCCTTGGCAGAATAATAATTATAAAATTATATAGATGCAGTATTTCTGATATATCAGCTTCTCCCCTTATCCACATGTGTAGATATTTTCCAGTGATGCTTATCCTTAAGTGTAGCCTGTCGTCCCTGATGTAGCCCAACATCCAGCAGCCTTTATTCTTCGTGTTTTGGCTTAGTTTTCCTCTTTAGTAAGAGAGAGGCCATAGTCAATGATCAGTTAGAGTTCCCAAAGGACATTTTTTAAATCACCTTGGTGGTGAACATTGCGTCTTTATTATTTATTTTTATATGTATTTTTGTAGAAACTACCAAGCCAGCTGCTTCCTGTGTCACCATGACAAAAATGTTTAAGGGCCCCCGTACCTAGGATTGCCATTTCTCTGTTTTAATACAATGTAACCACTGCAGTGAGGAAGTAGGCGTATTTGTGGGTTTCCTTGTTAAAAGAGTCATTTAGAAACTGTCCAATTGTTTTGATGCACATTCATTTTAGACAAGATGTCCAGAGGGGCATGTGTGTTATGCCACAGCAGAGTTGGATCATTTATTGGTTAGCTGTGTTAATATAGGGAGAAAGAGGAAACGGCATATATATGTAGAAGAGAGTAATAACAGATAGAAAGGTATCACTTTATTTTGGGAGAATAAACATGAAGAATGCTAGTTGCCCTGGGATCTAGAATGAACTGCATTGTATGTTTGATGCTGAACATTGAGAAGTGTTTTTTTATTCTATATTATTGGAAATATAGCTTTGTTAGTTCTACATTGGATAAGACATTGATGATTAGGGGTGGGGTTTTAGTTAGAGTTAGGGAATATGATTGATTACCCATTGAGTTTATTGGTTAAGATTAGAGATTATAATTAAAGGTTTCCCTTGTGTAAATTATCCTATTGGGCTATTAGGTGCTGAATTCCACACCCACTCTGATGTCACGGTGACCACACGCACCAGCTCAACGTGCTTGTGCATGCTCACGGCCAGCAAGGGGAGGAGCAGAGAGTGGAGATAATGAGGGAGAGAGGATTTCTTCCATTTTGTAAACAGTGGGAGGGAGTGTGGGAGGAGAGCAGGGGCGGACTGACCACTCGGGCACTTCGGTCATGGACCGAGGGCCCGAGGCAGTCAGGGGCCCGGCAGCACAGCCATGCTCCAGCTGGAGAGATCAGAGATCTCTCCAACTGGAACGGCAAAATAATAAAAAACTATTTAATCGATAGGTTGTGGGGCCCCTGATGCAGCGCGGGGCCCCACAACCTACCGCTCTGCACATCCCCCCCCCCATGAGACCTGGCAGCTTCACCTCCTCCCTGCCAGGTCTCCTGCTTCCTCTCCCATGCGGCTCTGTGTGATGGGAGAGGCGGGGCCAGGAAGTGACATCACTTCCTGTTTACTCCTCTCACACACAGAGCCCAGCATGCTGAAGGAGCAGCAGGCGGGTAGAGAAGAGGGAGCAGAGATGCAGGTAGGCACCAACCACCCCCTTCCCCCCCCCTCACTATCACCAGTCACCCCCCTCACTGTCACCAGTCACCCCCCCACTGTCACTAGTCACCCCCCACTGTCACTAGTCACCCCCCCACTCTGTCACCCCCTCACTGTCACTAGTCACCCCCCCACTGTCACTAGTCATCCCCCCTCACTGTCACTAGTCACCCCCTCACTGTCACTAGTCACCCCACTCCACATCCCCCTCACTGTCACTAGTCACCCCCCACTGTCACTAGTCACCCCCCCCCCTCACTGTCACTAGTCACCCCCCCTCACTGTCACTAGTCACCCCCCCACTGTCACTAGTCACCCCACCACTGTCACTAGTCACCCCCCACTGTCACTAGTCACC